ACTGCTGAATTTACAAATTCTCTACAACATTTTTTTATTTCTGTGAGGCCAGAAAAATCCATCTCTCGTGTATACATTTTAATGTATTCTTTTGTTGTTCCATGAATTCATAGCGTTTAAAACAGTTGTCTTTGTCATCTGGAAGACGAGATATTTTAATAGGTTTCTGAACATTTTTGAAAATTATTAACTAGCTACATTATTATCACAACATGTGAATTAAGCCTGCACATGTGCATTAAGGCTATCATTAAAACTCAGGAGGATTTTGAAGTTCTTACTCTGTACTTCAAGTCTTAGTGCTGGGCTATCTGTCTTCACATTATGCATTTTCCAACATTTTTTTGTCGAAATGATGGTATTTATGCTTAGAATTGTGACATTTGTAGTTGTTAGTCTTACATTTTTGGGAAATTCTTTGACAAAAAATTGTAATATCAGGTGGTGGAAGCAGATTGTGGTTTTTGCTCAAGTGCCATTAACCAGAAGGAGAATGTCCAGCTTTATTTCTATTTATAAATTACAGGTTACAATATCATATTTCACAAGCCTGTTATCCAAATTCCAAAATGATCTTACAACCTATGCCTGCACTAAACTCATCTCCTCAGGGACCATTTGGATAGGTTGAGAACCACGCAGGCTGGTCTTCCTTCCTCCTCACAACCTCTTCCTCTTCCTCTGCTTCCCTCGATTGCAGTGATTCCTGCTCAATCTGGCCCTCCTCCCACTCCTACTGCTAATTTTTTTCTTCCCAACAAGGAAGTCAATCTCTGGTCAACCACATTCTCCTTTGCGTATGTCTGGATTATTGATGAGGCAAGTGAGGTGCAACCAAACAGACTGCAGGCAGAGAGAGAGAGCGGTTAAAGACAGAATATCTGAATCTCTTCAGGTGGTAGCACTTTAAAGTAGAGCTGGAAGAAAAATATGAATACAGTAACGTATATTTTGTGTGTGTTGCTGAATCAAATCGGAAAAACTCTTTGTATTCAACAGTTAACACAAAAATATTACCTCAGTCGTTAGGCCTTGTAGCAATGTTTTTTTCACCCTTTTTTTCTGACTGTTAGCAGGCCTTCGTTAGCCGATTATTAACTGACGGGAACGTGTCTTGCATGCAGGGGTGCTACTGTGGTTAAAGTGCGTAACAAGCCGCCTAATTTCAGCGATAACCCGCTGCACAAATGGGTCAAAATCATAATTTATTGCCAGTTGCAGTGTATGTGCAAAAAAGGTAGCTAAATGGTTCACTTGTTCGAGAGAGCTAGCAGCCACAAAGTAGCATCTTTATCAAGGTATTTGCTCAAAAACATTTGATTTCCTTCATCGTCTAGCCCTTATCTCTCAATTATAAAGTCAGTATTATAATTTAAAGATTGCTGAAATTATAATAAAGGGGTCCTATTATGCTTTTAGGGGTTTTCCCTTTCCTGTAGTTTGTTATATAGGTTTTTGTGCATGTAAATAGTCTGCAAAGGCTAAAATCCCAAAGTTCACGCAAAGTTCATCCACCCACCTTCCTGAAACATCCCAATTGGACTCCTTTGTTTACTTCCTTAACATTGTGACATCACTATGTTACACTTGTACTTATATTGGCTAGAGCTCCAAGAAATTCTACATGCTATGCTAAGGGGATCCAGGACAGAAAAAGCTACAGCTCAAAATCCCCTCCGAGATTTAAAGCTAACTGTTAATTGTGCCTCAATCTGTCGCAGCTTTATGAGTGTAATATGATGATCTTTGCGTCTGTGCTCATTAGCCTGCACTGTTAACCTTTTACTGAAAGGGGTCTCGGTGGAATTGTAAGAAACAGCAGATGATGACAGGTGGAGACGGATGGTTGCCTCGGGGGGGAGCATGTTGGATGACTTCACCTCCTTACCTGAGCGCCGCTGCCTCACTCAGCAGAAAACAAAGCTACTTGCGTTGGACCCCACAGGATGCTGGGATTATCTGATCCCCCCACTTGGCTCCCTGCCTGTCCCTTTCATTTCCCTGGCTCTTGTTCGAAACGGTAGCGGCGTGTTTATTTATGATTGGCGAATACATTTGACCTCATCTCTCCTGGCCTTTTGCTGACTTTTTGTTTTTTTACAACCTCTCACGGATCGAGCGTATTGAGTTGAGCAGGTCACGGTGGCTTGATATTTGCATTTCCTTCCCCTCTTTGAACAAGCAAATATTTCCAAACCGAAACCTTTATTCAAAAGAGATGGACTTGGCACTGAGACTGTTTTTATCTACTGTCAGAAATCACTCTAATAAGCTAATAGCTTACTGTACTGAGGGTAGTAACCAAGGAAAAACCTCTATTTAAGTAAAAGTACTATTTCCATACTCCCATTATGTAACTACAAGTAATAATACTGCATTCAAAATCTTACTATTGTAGCAGTATTCAAGGTTTATCAGTGTTTCAATAAAAGTTTTCCAATCTCAGTCAGTTTTTTAAAACTGTTTGTAGTTATCTTGCTGTCATGTGAGAACCATGTATCTCCAAAGATTCACATTTCATGAGCTCCGCCAAACCCCCCTGCTTTCAGTCATTTGATAATGGATATCCAAGCTTGTGCATTTGTTTTAGCTTTAGAAGTAAGTGATTCATCAGGATGATGAAGGCTGACAGGTGTAGTGTCTCATAACTTTAATTACATATCTATTGCTGGAAATCACTGCGAGGTTGTTGTCAAAAATGTGTGCATTTGACCATGAGGCCTTTATTTCAAGATAACATAGATAAAAGCTACACTTAAAGTTATACGCTTAAATGAAATGTTGGAAAGTAATAAGAGTGCAGTATCAATTAATTAAGCTGTACTTTCACACTCAGCATATTTTCAAAGCTTTCTTCACTAGGGGCCTCTAAAGGCGCTCCAAGGTTTATTAAGTTATGATTTTAAGGGAACAATTAACTGATATGATTCTTCTATTTTTAGCGCCTTAGCAGAACTTCAATGAAGTAAAGTCTATTTTGACATTATCTCTGTTGCAAATGAAAATGTTGGCCAACAAAATAGTCACCTCTGGATAGGGCTGAACGATTCATCAATTTTAAATCGAAATCACGATTTGAAATGATGCGATTATCAAATCGCAAAGCCTGCGATTCAATTTTTTTTCTTGTGTGTCAGTCATCCACACCAATCAGAAGTGCTGTGCTCCACATGTACCAGTCATTTTTAACCAATCAGAAGTGGCCCATGTTAGTAGGTGATAGACAGATTGATCCAATCACCTGACAAGTATTTTTGAAATACTTTTCCAAATGGCTTCCAATAGAGCTTTCCTAGATGGTTTGGTGAAACAAACCATCTGAGTCAGGTTAGTAATGCTCCATAACCTGTAATCTGTTTAGTTCTTTCACTCGTAGCTCGGGCTGCGGGGGTGCTAGAGACGGGAGCACGTTGATACGACCTTCCTAGCCGGAGATATGGCTGCATTTTACAATAAACTTCTGTTGGGTCGCTTAAAAACAAATATCGCAAAGTGAATCGCAATCGCAATATTTGTCAGGAAAATAGCAATTAGATTTTTTCCCAAAATTGTGCAGCCCTACGTCTGGAGACTATGAATATGGTAGGTTTATTTATATATTATACTTTAGATTATATTTAGTTTACCCTTTATCTAAAGTAACTTACAATAAGCAACCAATTACAGGCAACATGGTTCATTTTTGTGATTTTGAGGCCAAAATATGTCAAGGCATCAAAAATGTGTTTAAAGAGGGAAATTTTCTATGTAACAAAAAATCTTTTTATTGACTATTTCTAGATAAACGCACATACAATCTGCTTTAATATCACAAAATCTATCAATTCTGGCAAATGATCAACATCGTCATCCTTAGTCCTTGCAGCCGCATGAATCAGCAGAACTCCTGACAGATATTCGAGGGTTAGGAATCACTGACATGACATTTCACCCGTACAGAATGCCATTTCCCAACCTTTCCTAACTAGACCCCTTTCCTTCGGAAAGCAGCACTGTGGGATTTGCTTAATGACAGGATCAAACACAATGCAGTGACCTTTACTTACAAAGACACTTGATGCATCGGAAGCCAGTCCAGCTAAGATTGACCGTTCACTCTCTGGCCTGTTTGAGTGATCTTTGCCCTCTAGTTAGAGAGGGAACATGCCTCGACTCGTTTATTTCAGGCCAGTCTGAGGTAGGGACAAAAAGCTTCTGTCCCTTTTGTTTTGCATGTGAAAGGAACCTCGTTGACAGAATGTGACATAATGTGAGGCCTCGAGTCGAGTCTTTTTAAGTACCTTTGTACTTAGCCTTGTAATTCGTTCTCTGAGGAACTTAAAAGAGATGTTAAAGGATACATTTAAGGTTTGTTGAAAACTCTATCAGAGCAGAGAATATTAGTTACTTGTGAATGATGTGAGCAATTAGTAAGAATCTAAACAATAATCCAGAGTCGATTTCCTGAGAGAACAAGAGTTGACACTGTTTTTGACCCTGCCCAACCGGTTTATTGTTCCGTCCTGGTGTGAAAAAACAAACCACGTGTGACCGAAAGAGGATGTTCAACGTTTATTGGATGTTGTGACTCTTTTGTCTTAACTGTGAAAAGATTTGTGTAATTGTGGCTACGAAAGAAAAAAAAGACGACATTTTTTAAATTCCTTGCACTTGTTCTAAAGAGGAACTTAGCAGCAAACTGTGAAGTTGTCAGCACCTCGTTCGGGGAGCTTGCTGAGTAAACATTTAGGTCATCCCTTCACTTGAGTACAGCGTGTAAAACAACAATATTGTCTGTCTCACAGGTGTGATACTCAAATAACCAGCTCTGAAGAAGGAGGGAAGGCACGTGGGATACATCTTTGAGAGGGAACACTGTGATTTATTTGCTGAAACAGGGATGGAACACTGAAATAATTTCATCGCAATTAGACCGTGGTGTAAGGCTGTGCCACTTATCTCAACAGTTGTGTAATAGGGGAAAATTACATTCACATGTCCTATTTTTCCTACTTTGTTACCCCGGTGACACTTTCAGGCTGAGTCAGCTGTCCTGCTCTCTGGGAGTTTGACAGCTCCGTCTCCGGGGGGCTGTTGAGGGTTTTATTGAGGGATTTTACCCCCGTCACACTGCTTCTCGGTGGGGTGTCCGTGGTTTTAGTGCCAGAGAGACAGACAAAGTCCTCACTGAAGAAGAGCAAATAGTTGGGCTTCAGAGTTAAATGAGGGGGGGTTTGGCAAGCTGGTCCATCAAGGTTTTGATTTAATGAAACGCCAGGAAGATACTGACATCTTTCTTTGTCATGCCATAGAGGCCCACTTGAGAAGCGTTATAAGTATTTTATAGAAAGTGGAGCAGGGGATTAGAAATATAAGTAACAACATTAACAACAAGAACTATCATTTACCTTGGGTTTGTGCGCTCACATTTGAAGTCCCTATACAACCCCAAAAGTTGTCTAATTCTCTGCTGTAGAAGATGCTTATCACTGAACATGCAGAAGATAAAAATGTGAAAAGCTGCTGATTGTGCTCTCAAATTCCAATAATAAATGGTAAGTTAAGAAATCTCACCACAAAGCCCATCCAGCAGCTGCTCCAGAGCCTTTGATCATTCCACTGTTATCTTGATCAGCAGATGGAGTTTGGCCCTTGATCATGGATTATATGGGTACATTTCATTTTTTTCTTTGCATTGTTTTATGTTAGGCCTGGGTCCAAAGTTCAGGACCTACAATGGCAGCGACCAGATGGATTCAGTCTTTTAACAAAGTTTAATAAAGGAAAAAAGGAGCAACTAAAAAACAATCCACAAAATGAAGGTGGATCTAGTTCACGTTGGTGGCGGCAGCAGGACTCAGGCTGGCTCGGGCAGACACTGGAAAAACAGAGGAAAAAACAAGGTTACTCTTCAACAAAAACAGCAAGAGAAAATCACACTAAGCTAGGCTACTACGACATTCAGCTCTAACGAGTGAGACGGAATTATCTGGCACTGGAGTGTGAAAGTCCACTCTCTCCTCCTCAGCCGGAGGAGAGAGTGGACTAGAGACAAAGGGCTTGAGCAGAGACACGTGGAATGAGGGATGTATCTTGAGAGCAGCAGGAGGAAGGCTAAGGTGGACGACACTGGGATTTATGACACGTTCGATTGCGTATGGACCAATATATCCTTGGGGCCAACTTGCGCGGGACTCAGTCTTGGAGTGGGCAGGTCACGGAGGGGGGGCCCCAAGGGGGATTTAAACCAGACCTTGTTGGCGCCTCGACTCCTGCCTTTCTCTCGGTGGTCTGTCTGGAGCGCTGCTCTCAGATACATCCTCATTCCCGTGTCTCTGCGCGTTCAATCGCGTGCGCCCTTTTGCCAGCTCTGTGGTTTCTACGGCGCAGCTAGTCAGTGCGCACTCTCTCGCTCGCGCGGCGGCTGCCTTGACGCCGCCCCCTCTCTTCCCGCCAGACTCGGCGGGCACGACGGAATGGGGCCTGGACTGAGGGAACAGTCCACTTCCGGTCTCCTGGCTGGGAGGAACAATGGGGCTGAAGCCTCTCGAGACCATAAATACAAGTGTGGACACACCTGATTGTGGACGGGGACTCTCTGACACCGGGTGCAAAGTTTCATGTGTGTATATTTCGGCACCCATGCCCAACGTGCTTCTAGGGACCAGGACAGTGTGTGCGGGTGGAGGACGGGCAGCGAGCACCACAACGTAAGGCTGTCCTCAGTTCTGTTGGCCCGCTCTGCCTGACCGTTAGT